GGCATTGGGAGCTGCATCTCTGGCATTGGGTTCTGCACCCCGGCATTGGGAGCTGCATCCCGGCATTGGGAGCTGCATCTCTGGCACCCCGTGCTGCTGCCCCAGCACCCTGTGCTGCCCCTCTGCCCCAGCTCTGCAGCCACCCACGGGCAGCACCATCACCCCAGCCCCACTCCCTGACCCCACAGTTGCTGCCCCTCGGGCCCCACAGCAGCTCCCACACCCTCCAGCCTGGACCTCGCCCCTCCAAGGGCTTTGTGGCCGCTGTCTCCCACCAAGCATTGTTTCTCCTTTGGCACTGAGAGTGGAGCACAGGCTGTGCTGGGGGAGTTGCCCCCTTGGCTTGTGTTACAAGAGGGAAAGGTTGCAGTGCTGGGCAGAAGTGGCAGCAGGAAAACAGCTTTCCCAAGGCTGAGTGTGACTTGTGGGGATGCCGAGGGACAAGCTGTTGGCTCTCTGTCTGTGTCTTGTGCCTTTGGAAAGGGGTGATGCCAGAGGGGGGATGTCCAGAGGGGTCTTTTCTGCAGCTCGCTGTGGGCTCCTGCTGCTGGTGCCACCGCTCTGTGGGTGCTGGGGAGCAGCAGGTCCTTGTGCTGCATCCTTGTGTCGCCACAGATGGGTGTGCGTGGGGCATGGAGCACTTGGGGACGTTGGAGGATGGCACAAGTGTGGCCCCAGCCCCTCTGCTGCAAAGCTGCTCCAGTGTTATTGCCACACCGTGTTGGTAGCATGGCCAGCAGCAAAGACTTGGGGCTGAATCCTCCCCACCAGCCATATTGCAGGGGTTTCATGGTGCCAGTGGCAGGCTTAGTTGTGGGATTCAATTGTTGTCTTGGTGTTTAAGGCATAAAAATCACAGACCTGCTGCAGGAGGGGGCTGCTGAGGGGCTGGGCCTGTGCTGTGGTCACTGTGCTGCATCTGGGGGACAGGGAGGGCTGTTCTCCAGCACATAATGTAATCACATGTTCTCCAGCACATGTAATCACCAGGAGCTGATTAAGGGGAGAGTGATCCCAAAGAGACTCAGCAGTGGGTTTTGGCCCAGTCAGTTTAATTGCAGGTTAATTAAAATGGCATTGTGTTGGCAGAGCAAGGGTTCGAGCTGCATGTGCTCAAGGAACTGAAGCTGAATTTGTTCTCCAGGGCTGTCCCTGAGAGTTTGCTGCAGGCAGGCAAGCAGAGGGTCCCTGGGCTGCCATTTCCCTGCTCATCTTCCTCTTCCTCTTCACCAGGTCGAGCTGGGAGCTGCCCGACCTGCGGGAAGGGCGAGTGAAAGCCATCAGCGACTCGGATGGGGTGAGCTACCCCTGGTACGGAAACACCACAGAAACCGTGACCCTGGTGGGGCCCACCAACAAGATCTCCAGGTTCTCGGTGAGCATGAACGACAACTTCTACCCCAGCGTGACGTGGGCCGTGCCCGTGAGCAACAGCAACGTGCCGCTGCTGACCAGGATTAAAAGGGACCAGAGCTTCACCACGTGGCTCGTGGCCATGAACACCACCACCAAGGAGAAGATCATCCTGCAGACCATCAAGTGGAGGATGCGCGTGGACATCGAGGTGGACCCCATGCAGCTGCTGGGGCAGCGGGCGCGCCTGGTGGGCAGGACTCAGCAGGAGCAGCCGCGGATCCTCAGCAGGATGGAGCCCATCCCGCCCAACGCGCTCGTCAAGCCCAACGCCAACGACGCCCAGGTGCTCATGTGGAGACCCAAGCGAGGGCAGCCCATTGTGGTGATACCTCCCAAGTAGGGCGTGCAGCCGAGCCCCCCTGGCTGCACACGGACAGGGCTGCCCAGCCAAAGCTCACCTCTGGGCTCTCCCGCCTTTCTTGTTGTGCTTGGAAACGTGGCTCCTCCTCGGGCACAAGTAGAGCCTGGCTGGCACAAGGGCGCAGAAGAGGGTTTGCTGAGCTGGAGGATTTCCCGGGAAGCGGAATGGAGTGCTTGCAGCTGGCGCAAAGGACTCGTCTCTCCTTGTGGGGCAGCACGAGCAGCATGAGTGTGGTTGAACCGTGCCCGTGGCAGACGCTGCTTCCCACGCAGCCAGAGGGAGAAGCAGAGGCTGTTCCTGTCCCCGTGTCCCTGCCGTGTCCGTAGCTATGCATTTCAGATCCATGATCCCCCCATGCCTGCCCGCCTCCCACAGTGGGGTGGGACCGGGCGGTGCTGGGGGCGGGCCAGAGCCCGGTGCTACCGCCCGGGAGGGGTTTCTGCAGCCCGGGGGCAGCGGGACACGTTTTGCATGCGTCTGGGTGTGTTTGGAGTAGTTGTGAGTGTAGGAGATGCCATAGCTCTTTTCCGTCTTGGGGTGAGGTGTAAGGGCAGGCTAGATGTCCTTTTGTTGTGCGGTGCACTAAGTCTTCGCATCCCTCAGCCTCCCTTCTCTTTGGGGAGCAGAAGGATTGTCAGCCCAGTCCGGGTGGGAATGGGGGCCGTGCCATTCTCCCAGCCCGGGTGCTCTGGGCGTGTGGGGTGCCCAGATCAGCCCAGAGGCACCCCTGGACTCGCTTTGCTTCACTGCAGACCCCCTCCCTTGCTAGAAGTTGGGTGCTCGCTCATTTTCCACGCAGATGCTGCCTCACGTGGAGGCCTCTCCCAGCCTCCCATGGAGCAGGGTGGCTGCTGGCTGGGCCACCAGTGCACGCTTTGTGGTACCTCCCCAAGCCCTGTGCGAGGCAGGGATGTGAGTGGAGGCCGTTCAGGGCAGGCCTGGGTTAGCCGGGGAAGGAGGAGCTGAATGTGCTGCCTGGGGCTGCCTCCTGCTGCTGCTGCTGTGCTCAGAGGGGTCACAGGGGGATTTATTTGCCTTCCTCCTCCCTCCTTGCTGCCTGGCTGGCTGGCACTGGCTGCTCCGTGGGGCAGCATGCTGCTGTGGGATGCAGCTGGCAGTTCCCAGGATCTCACCCTGGAGCTGCAGCAGAGGCATAAACCACAGCTGTGCTGCTGCTGCTGCGGGTGCTCCGTCACTCCTGGGCAGGTGCTTACAGCTTTTGCTGCTTTCTCTGCTCTGTCCTCCCTGGCACGAGCCCTGCAGCTCCTCCAGCTCGCAGCCCTGCCTTCCTCACACTGCAGGGAGGCTGTGCTGCCCTGGGGATGCAGGTCATTCCTGCTGGGAAGGTCCCTGTGCCATCCCGCTGGCAGTGCTGGGTGACACTTCCCTGCACCCGGACCCTGCCAGCACAGGGGCTCCTGAGGCATCTTAGACCAAAAATCCCTGTGAAATCCCCCTGCTATTTATTGCCCTCAGTAGTATTTGCTGCTGATCCAGTTCTTTATTTATTATTTTTCCTCTGGGAGCGTTTCCTTTGGACGCCCTGGTGCAGCAATTCCGTGTGCCGGGGCTGGTGCTCCTGCTGGGCTGGGATCCTGCTGCTTTCTGTGCCTGGGTGGGTTCTGCAGGGGGCAGCCTTGGAGGGAGACAGGGCTTTGAGCTTTGGTTTGCTGTGTTTTCTGCAGCAGAGCTCCCACAGGGAGCTTGTGGTGTGGGAAGATGTCCTGCTCTTGTGAGACTGTGGTTTTGTCCTGATGTGGGACCGATGGCAGCTTGTGCCATCGCTGATGTTTTGTTTTTCAAAAAGTGTGTGTGGAGAGGGGTTAGAAACTTGAAATACAATTTTCCTTAAGGACTGGGGGAGGAGGGGTAAGTACCTTTTTGGTTTGAAGTAAGGCAGGTGTATACTTTTGACCCAGGGGGACAGAAACATCTCTGGCAACATCAGAGCTGAAATGCCAGAGGAAGGGGCTCCCCAACAAACAGGTGGCTCCAAGGTGGCCTTCCTGCTGGGAGAGGATGCTGTGTCCAGAGGCTGCGTGAGCCAGCTCCCCAAAACCCACGGGAAGTGGCTGCAGGCTGCTGTCAGCCCAGGGAGTGCTGTGGCACCGCCGTGGCTCCAGCGCCTGGGAGAGCAGGGACGCTGCTGCAGGGATGCTGTTGGACCCAACATTGCCACCTTTTGGGACTTGCTGGCCAGGCTGAGCCTTGGCACTGAGACAGCAGTGGCTGGATTTCTGTCCATGAATGTCTGCAACATCCTGGTGCCAGGGTCAGGCTCCGTGCCTGGCTGTAGCCGTGTGCCTGACGCCCCAGGGCTGCCCCAGCCTGCAGGCAGGTGTTGGCTGAGCCCCGGGGCAGTGCCTGTGTTCACCTCTCCAGGCTTCTGCCAGGCTTCCATTCCTGCTCCTCTGACAGCTGGATTTGATGCACACTCGGTTTGGTGCACGGCTTGTCTTTGTGGGCATTTCCCCGTTAAAAAAGAAAGGGGAAAAAAAAAAGTTTGCAAAAATTGTTTGCAAAGAAACACGTGCAAACAGCGTTTACAGAAACGCTCACACCTGGGTGGAGATGGAGCTCTGGGGCTGCTGGTGCTCAGGGGAAGGAGGGAAGGTATGGGGGAAGAGTTCCCATGTAGGATTCTGAGTTTGGCTCATTCCCTGTGGCTGGATGAGCACTCAGACTCCTGGGTTCACCCCCATGGGATGCTCTCCCTGTGCCCCCCTTCCCCACCAGCACCCCGTTATCTCAGGGAGGGGCAGCCCATGGAAATGCCCACCCTCCTGCTCCCTGAGCGCCCCTTCCCCTCCTTCCCAGCCTCGGGTCACTTATTTATTGATCTATTTATTTATTTATTTATTGGTATTTATTGACAACTGGAAGTCGGGGTGCGGCGGGGGGGGGGCTCATTTCTGCTGCACAGTGGGGGCAGCTGGGTCTCCCCCACACCCAGCCCCTGCCTTTGGGGTGCTGCTGGGGTCCCCAGGCTCCCATCCCCTTTTGGAGAGGCAGAAGGGGAAGCACACGGTGCCTGCAGGGAGGGCACCCGGTGCTGCTCCCTCCCTGCAGGAGCTCGGAGTGCTCCCTGCCCTGCCCATCCCTGTTTACTGACCCGGCCTCCTGGTGCCTCTCCCGCTGGATTTGCCCTTTCCAGCCCCTGGAGAGGGCGGGAGAAGCCAGGGTGGGTGAATGTCACTACGGAGAACAGACCCAACCAGGTATTCTGCTGCCGCGCGGGGAAAATCAGAGAGAGAGAGAGAGGAAAGCTGGTTCTGCAGAGTGCCTTAAACACAAATGACTTTACCCAGTAGGGGGCTTGGACTTGTGTCTCTGGATGTTATTACCAACTCGAAAAAATGTTGCATTTCACTTCTCTGGGATTAAAAGAGAACTACTGGAGCTGTACTGGAGCCAAACCTTGTGTTTGCTTGAGTGTCTCTGGCTGGTTTGTACCTCTGGGGCCGTGGCAGCACCGGGGAGGGAGCAGGCAGGAATTCATGGAATTTCAGTGGCTGTCCCTGCTGCCTTTAAGCCCTTGGGTCTGGTGACAGAATTTGCTCCACTTTGTCCTTTTTGGTGACAGAATTTGCTCCACTTTGTCCTTTCTGGTGACAGAATTTGCTCCACTTTGTCCTTTCAGGTGGCTTCTGTGCTGTCCCAGCGAGGTTCCCTGTGCTGGCCCTGCAGTGCCCTGCCCCAGGGCATGCTCTGAGCAGGCTGTGGGCACAAATCTGCCATGGGGCTGTGTCCTCACACCTCCAGAAAAATGGGCAGTTGGTTGGAAAGCTTGGAGGGGGCAGAAGTTCCTTTTTCCCTTAGGAAAGCAGATCAAAGTGAGGGAGCAGCAAGAAGCCCAGGAGTTGGTGCAGCCCAGCCATGGGAACTAGGAAAGCTGCCCAGCTTGATAAAGCTGAAAAGCTACACTGAAAAAAGATGTTTCCCTTTTGAAATTGTAGCTTCCCTCTCCCCTTTCTTGCAGAGTGGAAGAGTGAGCACAAAAGTCAGCCCAGGGACCAACTGTTCCTATCTTCCAGTCAAAATAATACATGGGAATAATAAGGAGTTTCATAATGAAGGTTCATTCAAAAGCCATTTGGGGAAATACACCAATATTCACTGCATAGCTCCTGAAGGCAATTAGAAATTAATAAACCTATTTTTGGGGGGGAGAGGGGTAATGAAAGAGGGTTGTGGGTGCTGCCTGAGGTTTAGTCTGGAGGGGGATCTCACTTTGCTCACCTTGAACATCAAACCCACCAGCCCCACTTGCTGGGGAGGTACATTTGTGCCCAAGTGAGCTGATTTCTTTAACAGCTGCTCCTTTTGAGCATTGCTGGCTGTGCTGGGCACTCAGGGGTGCTGGCAGCCACGCTATGAGCTATTCAGTGAGCAGCTTTCTCTCCTGCTGTTAAATTAAAACATTGCTCATCTCTTGACAAATCCCTGAGAAGGAGGTGTGGGAGAGCAGGAGTTTGCACGGCTCCTGTCGTGCTGCTCATGCCCCAGGAGCAGGGAAGGAGCTGCCCTGCAGCCAAGGACGAGGCTGAGGCACATTGTTCCTGCCCAGCAGGGACAGCACAGCTGCCTTGTCTGAGAGCCTGTGCCCTGGGACAAGCTGTCCCTCCAAAACTCCTTCCTTGCAGAGCAAGAACAAGGGCAGTCTGTGCTGCCTGGGCACAAATCCCAGCTGGTGCCCACAGGGAACACAGCAAACTTGTGGGAAAGACAAGGGACACTGCAGGTAGTACTGAAGGTCAGTTTATTTGCTTAATTCCCTCTCCCACAAAACCTGGAAACCATCACCTTCCAGCAAGAGACAAGAAAGCATTAAGAGGTGAGAGGTTTAGCTCTGCAGCTCCTCCCCTACTCGTGGAGCACAGGTTAGATGGCTGCTCTGAAAGGCACACAGCAGCTTGGAGCCCCCAGAGCTCCTGGCCCAGCAGGACACCCCTCCTCAGCACACCTCGGGGCTGGCACCAAACGGGGGGGGGCAGCAGCACAGCAGGAGCCCTGCAGTGCCATCTGGGGACCAGGCAGGGCTGGGCTGAGGCAGGGAAACACCCAGGGCTTGGTTCTGAGGGATGGGGTCAGGGACAGGAGGGCTGGTACAGGGCAGGAGAACACCCAGGGGTTGGTTCTGAGGGATGGGGTGTAGGGACAGGAGGGCTGGTACAGGGCAGGAGAACACCCAGGGGTTGGTTTCGGGGGGATAGAAATGCAGGGAAAGGAGGGCTGGTTCTGGGCTGGGCTGAGGCAGGAGAACACCCAGGGTCAGAGGGGATGGGATGGAGGGACAGGAGGGCTGGTTCAGGAGGGCTGGTATAGGGCAGGAGAACACCCAGGGGTTGGTTTTGGGGGGATAGAAATGGAGGGACAGGAGGCTGGTTCTGGGCTGGTGCTGAGCTGGTTCAGGGCTGATTCTGAGCTGGTTCTGGGCTGGTTCTGAGCTGGTTCAGGGATGGTTCTGAGCTGGTTCTGGGCTGGCTCTGGGCTGATTCAGGAGGGTTGGTTCTGGACTGGTGCTGAGCTGGTTCAGTGCTGCCATGCAGCAGCAGAGTGCCAGGACGAGGCCGTGGGTGATGCGGTGTCAGAGGGGCAGGAGCTGGGCTCAGGAAGGCTCTGGCATCCCAGCAGGACAGACAGACAGACAGCCAGGCAGCCAGCCCTCACTCTGGCTGCGGGGTGTAGCGCAGGTACTTCTTGCCCGAGGGCAGCTCCTTGGTGAAGACCCCTTTGGGGAAGAGCTTCTTGGCCTCCTCGTCGGCTAAGGTGGGCACCACCATGACGCTGTCACCGGGCTGGGGGGCACATGGGGACAAACGGGGACAGTCAGGGGCTGGCAGGGCTGGGCACGGGTGGCACTGCCCCCCTGTGAGTGCACGTGCCATGCCTGGAGCCAGCAGTGAGGGCAGAGTGGGAGCTACACCAGGAGATGCCCAAAGGGAGAGCTGTGCCACCTGCCAGCCCTGCCAATGGCATTCCCAGGGGAACAGGGAGTAAGGAGGGGAGAGTTTGAGCCTCTCTGTAATACTGGATAAGGCACAGCTTGCCCATGTCTGCCCATCCATTCCTATGGTTCAGGCAGCCCTGGGCAGGTGCTGCTGGCTCCCCCTTGAATTCCAAGCCCTGGGGGAAAGATCTGCTTTGCTGGGAGGTGGCTGAGCCAGCCCAGCCCACTGGGATTTTATGCTGCAGCAAACAGGAGCCTGCAGAGGCCAGGCTGCTCCAGCTGCTGCTTCCCCCAGCCTGTGTGCCCCTCCAAAGGGAGCTGGCTGCCATTCCATGCCTGTTCCCAGTGCCCTGCTCCTCACCTTCCAGTCCACAGGGGTAGCGACCTTCTTGTATGCTGTGAGCTGCAGGGAGTCCACCACTCTCAGGATCTCATCAAAGTTTCTCCCAGTGGTGGCTGGGTACAGGATAGAGAGCTTCAGCTTCTTGTCAGGGCCAAAAACGAACACCTGAGCACAGGAAGACAGTGTCAGGAGCTGGGCACGTTTGTGTGGCTGCTCTGCTGGATCTGCTCAGCCCTGATGCTCCTTCCTTTCCTGGGAGATGCTGAGTTGGGACAGGGGAGATGCCATGGAGCAGCTGATGCCCAGGGAATGGGCTTTTGCTCTGGGAGCTCCTGTGTCCAACACCAGCTTGTTCTGCTGCCTGTGCCCTTCTAGTGCAAGCACAGGAAGGGAAAGGCAAAGCCCAGCAGACAGAAATGAGCTGGGACAGGCACAACTAGAATTGGTAGATCACCATGATACAACCCAAGGGAGCCACCCCAGCTGCTGGGGGTGGCCATGCCCATGCAGGGGAGCTGCCCCCAGCCCCAGGGCAGGCTGGCAGCCGTGGCTCTGCTCTCTGGGACAGGCAGCACTCACCACACGAGCCGTCAGGGGCATGCCGTCCTTGTCCTGCTCGTCCGGGTCCAGCATGCCCAGCTGCACAGCCAGCTCCCGGTTCTTGTCAGCGATGATGGGGAAAGGCAGCTTCTCTGCAGGCTGCTCCCCGTTGTAGGCATTGATGTCCTGCAGGGACACAGCCGTGGCACGACCCATGAGTTTGCAGAAAGCGGGTGACAAACCAGAAACCTTTGTGCCTCCTTGTTCTGGAGGCCGTTCTCAGGCTGTCTGTGCTCACAGCCCGGGCAGCAGGGCATGGAGCAACAGGGAATTCCTGTTAGTGACACACAGAGCTTGAACTGAGAACTGTGCCCTCTTCCAGCTCCCTCCTGCACTGCTGACAGGTGTGTTGGTGTCACAGCTGGACTGACTGTGCTCCTAAGGAATGGTGGCAGAGCAAACCAGCTGATAAAGAAAGGCCCAACACTGCACAAGTCTTGTGCAAGGCACCAATTCCATCCCATGAGTCACTCACAGCTTATTTAACTCAAGGCTCTCAAAAAACTCCACTGGAAGCCTGAGAGCAGGTGCTGGGGCACTGCTCACTCCTTTCTGAACCACTCTTGGCACAGAAGAGAGAACCATCCCCCTCCACAGCCCTGGAGGCTCTGCCTGGTGAGGAAGCAGGGAATTGGTGCTGCTGTCCTGCAAACCTGCCCTGGCACAGCACAGCAGGGAAGGAGGGCAGAGCTGAGGAGAAATGCAGCTGAATGCTCCACAGAGTCACAGGAGGCTGCAGATGGGACACCAGCAAAGGAGAGCCACCCCCTCCTCTCTTTAGAGCAGGGCTGGAGGATGAGCAGAGTTTCTGAGAGGTATTGTGTGAATCCTACAGACTGTAACTCGTTCCAAAATGCACGTGATTTCCTGGCCTGGGGAGAAAACAGCCTCACAAGCCACACTGTGCTGCAATAAACCACCCATGACTCCCTCCCCTAATCACTGATTGTCTTTCCAGAGTCCAAGCTGAAACCAGACATCACAGGAGGGACTGATTCACCAGTGAGTCATCACGGTACAGGTATCCCTGGCCAGAGAGAGCACTGAAAGCTCTGCCAGCACAGCTCAGGGGGCTCAGGCATTCCCCCAGCCCTTGCAGAAGCACAACCTCCTGCCTGGGGAGCTGGGATCAATCCCTGGCCAGAGCCCCCAGCCCTGGAGCAAGGCTCTGTTCTGTGCCTAGGGATGGCCAAGAACAGCTGGAAAGCACAGAGTGACACAGGGACTCCTGGCTGCAGCTGGCCCCACCTTCCCAGGCAGATCCCATCTGAAACCTGGCAGCAGAGAAGTTTCTTTGTTGTTTCATGCAGGAGTTCAGCCTCCCCTCTTTCCCCCTTGCAGGCTGTGCCCCAGGTAAAAGCAGCTTCATCCAGGCAGGGAGCAGAGGTGTGTTTGGGAATGCTGCACACAGGGCTCTGCCCAAAATTCACTCCTGGCCTCAATCCAGTGGCACACAGGCTGCATGGAACACTCCAGCCTTGTCCTCACCAGCTGGATCTTTGGAGGATTTTCAGCTGTTTCTGTCTCACAGGTGCTGAGCTGACACTTCCAAACCTCTGGAAGCCTCCAAGGCTTCTCCCAGCCTCACCACGGCTTCACTCGCTGCCTCTCCGTGGTTTTTCTGGAAGGTTTTCCTGCTCTGCCTCCCCCCAGCCAGCATCAAGGCTGTTCTGCAGCTTCTCCTGCTCTCACCTGAGCTTGTGCCATGTGAATAATTCCATGGCATCAGCAGAGTCAGCTCGTTGTTCATCTCTTTTTCAGCTCACCCAAGTCTGCTGAACCCCACACATCCCTGCAGGATGAAAGAGCTCAGCACTTCCCTCCTTGACACAAATCCCTGCTTTCCTGCAAGAAAGAGCCTGCCCTTCACAGAGCTGACTTGTGGAAAAGCTGCTTGCAAATTCAAAGGCTTTGCAGAAGTCAGCAACACCCTGACACCTCAGCTTTGGCCAAGCAGATGAGTCTCCCTCACAAAAGCACAACACAAAAGTTCTGTTCTGGCTAATGACATGTTGTTTGCTAATTTGTCTGCTGGTTTCAGCTAGTTTGAGCAGCACAGAAACCTCATTTACTGGGATTTGTACATTGCTTTTCCCAGGCCCTTGCTGGGGCATTGGCCATGCACCACTCAGGTACAAAGGCTGAATTAAGCAATAAGGCAATTAGCTAATTTCTAAAGCCAGTCAGTCATGAAATAATGTCCAAATGAGTGTAGAAATTTCTCACCTTTGATGCCTCTTATTGCAAGCACCTCTCACCCCTGGAAAATACCTGAGAACATTGCCAATTTTAAGAGCTAAGGGGGTGGCAGGTAATTCACCCAAGGATTTTTACACTCTGGCCATTTCTGTCTGAAACACTCATTTTAGACCCCTGCCACCTCTAGCCCTGGCAGCATTCTCCCTGGTAGCACACACAGGCTGCCTTTGAAGTTTTCCTTAAGTTCCTTGCAAGGTCCTTCACTGAGTTATTCCACTCCCATCTCTTTTTAATACTGCCTCATGTTCATTTTACACTTAACATTCTCCTATCTGTGATTTTACAGTTAACATGTCTCAGTTTGTTTTCTCCTCCCTGCCCCAGCACAAACTGTAATTTTCTCCTCACTTCTGATGCCTCTTTTCCTTTCCTGTTTTATTACAGAACTTCCTGAGGGTCTGTGGGTAGGTTCTGGCCTCACCTCCACACATTTTAACCCTTTCAGTAGTGGTGGGACAGCAGTAATATTGCTTTCCTCTTGTATTGATGCCTCAGGTTTGAGCTTTTCTATTTTTCAGGTTCTGTGCTGCTTTAGTGTGTGGGTCTGGGCTTCATGTGAGGGGATGCTGAGCTCTGTGCACAGAGCAGGGAGACAAAACAATTCCTTCTCTAGCTGGGCACCAAGGACAAATGATCCAAATCCCAGGCCCAAGAGCACAAACAATGTGGGCTGGAGAGAGAAAAACAAGCAGGATGGGACTGCATGGGCTAAAGCTGGAATTGGACAATTAATTCCAATGTGCAAATGGAGCAGAACTTATAAAAGTGAGAGATCCCATGACCAGTCATGCATTTTGTGACCATTTTGGTTCATCTTGGGTGCACCCCTGGCTGGGCTCTTGTGCTGCCCAAGGTGGACCCATTGAGGCCTTTAACAAATCCCTGCTTTATTCTTTAACTCTGTCCAGCCCCTGTTCTAGCTCAGCCTGCACAAGGCATCACCATCAAAGTGCAAAGAGCCCCCTGGACTTTGTGAGGTTCTCCGTGACCATGGAGAAGACCTTCCCCACTCCTGCTCTGCATTTCAGCACCGCCACGCTTTGGGATGTGACACTTGGGACCTCCAAGCCTGCCTGGGCATTTTCTGCAGGCCCTGAGCCCCCGCAGAGGCCGTACCTTGCACCAGGAGAGGTGGTCCTGCACGCTGTCGATGGAGAGTGCGATCATCTTCACGTTGCGCTTGCTGAACTCGGCTGCCAGCTTGGCCGCCCGGCCCAGCTCCGTGGTGCACACCGGGGTGAAGTCCCGCGGGTGGGAGAACAGGATGCCCCACCTGCAACGGCACGGAGGCAGCTCTGAAGGGCACCTGTGGCTCTGGTTTGTGCTGCAAGAGCCTGAATGAGGGATGTGGGGCTCCAGGGGCTCTCCAAAATGCAGTTTATTACGTCCAAGAGGTTGCAGCAGGACAGGGTGGTGGGTGACAGAGCTGTGCCCACAGCTGTCAGCTCCAGCTGCAGGCAGGCCTGGAGACCCTTAGTTTAATTTACATTGCATTCTATACTTTTCTTTGCTGAGCATCTTAATACAGTAGAACCAATCTATACCTTAACTTTTCTCTATAGCCTATCATAACTGCTATAATTCCCATATTCATGTTACTGTTCTCCAATCACTAAAAGTTAGTGCATTACAGTTTCAGCTAGAAGTTGGTTTTCAGTTTTGTTGCAGTGGGAAATTCTGAGACCTTTTTTCTGCTTGCAACATTGGCAGTCCTGTCTGCCTGGGCTTTCTGCTTGGTAAAAACATCTTCTTGTTTGGGGTGGGTTTATCCTTTGCTCTAAGCCATAAAAACCCCTTCTAACTAACACACCCTTTGCCTCCTTGGTTATCCAGTAAGACTGGCTCAGCAATTCTTTTCTTCTATATCAAAACTTGCTTCCATTTCTATTCCTTCTTCAGATTCTACATTCAACAATCTTTCTGCTAAACCTATCTGTCTCACATATCTGTGAGACTTTCTTGTCAAACTTTCATCGTTCCCAACGCTGTGCAGAGTGGAGTGCAGGAACAGCTCGACTCTGATTAAGAAATTCCTGGAGTGCAGGAACAGCTCGTGGAGTGCAGGAACAGCTCGTCTCTCTGATAAGGAATTCCTGCCCGGCAACTCTTCCTTCCCTATCACCAGAAACTTCCATGAGATAAGCCCTGCTCCGGGAAACTCCCTGCACCTTGCTGCCCACTCTGCCTCCAGGATCCTGCAGGAGATGCCGGAGCAGCCCCAGGTGCTTCCCATGGATGGGGACACGGTGCTGTGTGAGGAAGTTTGGGGGAGCCAGGTGTACAGGGCAGCCCAGAGACCCCACGAGAGAGGGGGTGCCTGGCCAGGTTATTGCAGAGCTGGTCACTGATTCACCAGCTGGCCACTACCCCTGCACCTCCCCTCCACACACACAAATGTGCATCGTGCAGCTCAAAATAATGGGACAGGACCAAGCCTAAACCCAGCTGCTGCTGTGAGCTGCACTCCATTAAAAGGTAAGAATTAATCAATAGCAGGGGAGGCCAGAAGTTAACAACATCACATCGTGGCTCCTGTTGCACTGACACAGCCACCTCAGCTTGGCAGAGATGGATTTTGAGTCTTTAGAGCAGCAAACACTACTCCTGCACCTCCCAGGTAAGGCAAACAGTGCACAAGAAAGGCAGCAATGCAGCCCAGCAGGACGAGCTGGAGTAAAAAGGCTCTCAGGACTTCCCAGGGGGTAAAGCAAAGCCACCCCCAGCACTCCAAATTCCCTGCCAGAGACTCCTTCCACCATTTCTCAGCTCAAACCACACAGTTCTTGCTGCACCCATCTTCACGGGCCTCCAGCATCATGACAGGAGGGGAAAGCCCTGTCTGAGAGCCTTGGGAATGCAGCTGGAGGGATGAAATGAGGGCTCCTGCAGCTCTGCCAGGGCCGTGTGACTGCCACGGGTCAGCAGCAGGAATTATTGATGTGGAGCTCCCTGGCCACGGTGCCAGGAGGCTGCTCGGACAATGCCCGCGCTCCGTGAGGGAACAGCGGCGAGCAGGAGGGCAGAGCTGCGTGTGCCAGGCTGGAACAGCCATTTCCAGAGGGGCTGAGGCTCTCAGGGCTCTCACTGCCCTCTGCCCAGGCTCACAGTGCCCACAGCAGCGCCTGATCCGAGCCTGCCGAGCGCTGCCGGGAGCGGGGCCCGCAGGGGCCGTGCCCGAGTCGGGGAATGGGGCAGCCGGCTCTGAGGGAACGGTGCCCGGGGCAGCGGGGCCTTTGTCACCCAGGCACTCCCAGGACACCGAGCTGTCCCCTTTGTCACCTTGGCACTCCCAGGACCCCGAGGTGTCCCCTTTGTCACCTTGGCACTCCCAGGACCCCGAGGTGTCCCCTTTGTCACCCTGGCACTCCCAGGACACCGAGCTGTCCCCTTTGTCACCTTGGCACTCCCAGGACACCGAGCTGTCCCCTTTGTCACCCTGGCACTCCCAGGACACCGAGCTGTCCCCTTTGTCACCTTGGCACTCCCAGGACACCGAGCTGTCCCCTTTGTCACCTTGGCACTCCCAGGACACCCAGCTGTCCCCAGCGCCGCTCTGGCCAGCCGGGCTTTGCCCCTTCTCCGTCCTCCAGAGCTCAGCTCGCCCTCCGGGGACGATGGGGACGGGATTCTGCCCACCGGGAATCCCGCCGTGTCCGGCCCCCCGGTCCCACGAGGAAAAGCCACATTTTGGAGCGAGCCCCCGGAACCGTGTGACACGGGGCTCAGCGTGCGGGAGGAAAGAATGAAGGAACGCGGTGAGCGGCCCCGCTCCGTGCCGCCTCCCCGGGATCCCCGGGATCCCCGGCGGCGCCGACATCCCATCCCACCCCCGCTCCCGGTGTATCCCCAAGCGCTCACGAGTCTCCCAGGAAGTCGTGGAAGCGGATGCGACCCTGCGTGGTGTCCGCCTCGAAGTTGGGCGCCTCATCCCCCAGCAGCAGCCCCGGCATGGCTACAGCTCCCGATGCAATTCCCGATGCAGTTCCCGGTACAACTCCCGGTGCTGCTCCCGCAGTCGCCGCCGCCCGCTCTGCGCCTGCGCGCCGCCGCCGCCCCCTGCGCGGGCACGTGAGCGCGGGCACGTGACGGGCCGCGGCGGCGCGGCCGCGATGGCGACCTACGTGAGCGAGCTGGAGGCGGCCAAGAAGAGCCTGAGCGAGGCGCTGGGCGAGAACGTGAAGCAGTGAGTGCCCTCGGGGAGCGGGGCTGGGCTCTGTGCCGCCCTCCCGGCCCCTCGCGTTCTGCCGTGGCCCCGCAGAGCCTCGGCGCCGCTGCGTGAGGGGGCAGCGCTTCTGCTCCGCTCCCTCAGCTGAGGCGCTCGGGGAGGGGAAAGAGCCGCGGTCCGGTTGAGAGGTTGGACTCGATCCTTTCGGAGGTCTTTTCCAACCTCATTGATTCTGTGGTTCCCTGCTCTTCCCGAGGTACTGGGCCAACCTGAAGCTGTGGTTCAAGCAGAAGATCAGCAAGGAGGAGTTTGATCTGGAAGCGCGCAGGCTCCTCACGCAGGACAATGGTAAAGGAACACGCGGGGTTTGTTGCCCTGCCAGGCCTGGGAAGGCTCCTGCAGGCTCCGCGGTGCTTCCCGAACTGGGAAAATGTTTGTGAGGGAAACAACCGCGGCCAGGGCTCCGGCAGCAATGGGTTAAAGTGGTGGGAGGTGCCCTGGCCCGCATGGGGAAGTCCCTGGGTAACCCCGGCCCTGACGGACAATTTGGCGTTGTAAATGTGGTAAAAATGTAAAACATGCTGTTCGAGCAACCAAAAAGCCAGTTTTAATGCCGCAGTGGAGGCACAGTCCTTTCTGCACTTTCCCCTTGGCTGTAGCTGGAGCAGAGGAGGGAGCTCTGGGTTCCCAGGGCTGCATTTGCAGCAGGCAGGTCCTTCCTGCCCTTGGGACTGGCAGCTGGGGTGGTAAAGGGGGAAATTCCTCGGTCCTTGCTTCTCTATGTGTCTGCAGACATGGGTGGGCATTGCTGAGCTCACTGTGAGGGCTCCTGGCTTCCATGTTTGTGATCCCTTAGGGAAGGGCAGGGAGGTTTCTGGTGCTCAGGCTCCAAAGAGGATCCTGAAACCCTCTGAGGTTGTTTTCACTTTCTCTTGTGCACGTTTACTCGATGTTCCAGAAAACCTCTGCAATAAAGTTCTGTTTTGTTAAAAGTTCTTTGAGCTGACTTCATCTTTGTGGTTCTCATTTTGGTGTATTTTGTAACAAAACCAAAAGCACTGCATGGCAGGAGGGGAGAGCTGCTCCTCTGACTGGCTGCATACACCAGAACTTGTCAAGCAGCTGTAATACACTGTGTGTGTAATACTGAGAAGTGACCTCATTGTTTCTGTGCTGTCTGTAGTATCTTTTGTGTTGTTGTCACAGTAGTAGATTCTCAGCCCAGCAGAAGAAAACTCTCAAAAAAACTTAAATCAAAAATTGAGCAGGTGGGGAGAACACAACAGTGGGAAAGCTTAGGGAGCAGCTTTAGGATGGCTTTGAGGGGGTGCCAGGGCACTGGTGTGCTGCTAATGAGCTCTCTCTCTCTCTCTGCACAGTCCATTCTCACAATGATTTCCTCCTGGCTATTCTCACCCGATGCCAGATCTTGGTTTCTGCCCCAGGTGAGTCCTGAGAAGCCTCATTAAACCCTTGGTGTAACACTGTGCCTGCCACTTGTGAGTTTGGGGGTGTGTGCACAGTACCCCAGTGTCCTCAGCCTTCATATTCATGGGGGTTTTTGCCACCCAGATAAAAATGTAGCAAAATAATGAAATTATTTCAGCAGAGGTGCTTCTGTGGCTAAGCTGTGGTGCTTGGCTGGAGGCTGATGCTGGGTTGGTGCCTGTGATCACCTGGTTTGAACTCTGGGTCGGTGTCTGCTGTGAGCTGAAGGGTCAAGGCAGAGGCAGCCTTCTCTTTGATGTGCTTTGCTTACCCCTTTCCCTCTCTGAACTTTGTTCCTGCTCGTTGTGGAGAGCTGACTTTTCCTGACTCATCTTAATTTCAAGTACATAGCTGATAGAAAAGTGCTTACAGGGAGCCTTGGTTGAGCTGTGACCTATTAACCCAGTGTCTGCAGACAGCTAACATTTTACCTTTGGGAGCATCTAGAATTACATTTTACCTCTGTGAGTGTCTACAATGGCTGTATTTAAGGGTGCAGGTGTGTTTTTTTTTGTTCTCCAAAAGAGCTCCCAACCCAGAGATGTGGTAGCAAGGGCAACTGAGCTGCAATTCAAGGTGTGGAGGTGCTGTGTAGGAAGGGGGAGAAAATTGCTACAGCTCACATGGCGTGAGAGATGAGTTTTTGGAGAGAATACCTGTTTCTGAGGTGCCTGTTGTAGCTAGAGGAAATAATGCCTGCAAAATTCATGGATGGCCACGAGTTTTTGTGCTGGAGCTGGTCCTTAACTCTACCAGCTGTGCTAATTAAATGTTGATTGCCCTCACCTCCAAACTGCTGATTGAATTGCAAAAACACCCTGTGTGCCCTAAACTTTTTCCCTTTAGGGAGCTGCACTCGTGTAAATCAGAAGGTTTATGTGTGAATCTGCTGCTCCTTGCTTTTCACTTTGAGTAATTAATTACAGCTGGATGATGAAGAGACTGCACAGGAGCAGAGATTCCCCTGCTGGTCACCTGGAGCAGCTGGGTCTAAATGAGGAGGGCAGGGAGGCAGTGCCTGTCTCTTTCTGCCCCTTAGTCATGGTGTGCAGCTGTCTGCTCAGGATTCCTCAGCAAACTCTCCCAGGTGTCCCTTTCCAAGGCAGTTCAGGATTGTGTTGAAGGTGGGAGCCCCAGCACAGAGCAGGGTGCTGCTCCACAGGTATTTATTAGTTCCTGCCTGACTTGTTTTAATTTCAAGTCCTTGGAGGTTGTTTTCTCCTGTCCCATGGCAGCTGCTCTCTTCAGAGCCCTGGAAGAAACCTGGATGTGGTTCCTTTTCTGCACCACTGACTGGGAGATCTCTTGCCTGGAATACTAGTTTTCAACATCTAGATTTCTCTTTCTCCCCCTAGATGCCAGTCTGACATCTGCTATTTTATTTTTTTGTTGTGGTTTGGTATTTTCTCTCTCTCTTTTTCTCTTTTTTTTCTTTTTTTCCCCTCCATGTAAGAATGGAAAGCTAACAGGTTTTTGTCTTTGCCACTGTCTTTTGGGTAGAAGGTGTTTACTTGATGATTCATGGAAATAAGTGACTTTAAAGGAGTGTTTTTGAGGCACTTGGCACGCCATCACAAGGGTTATTGGTGCATGTACTTTCCACTTTCTTGTGAGAGACAAGGGGAAAGTAACCATGTGGTCAGTGGTCAAGTTGTACTTGGTGCTGTACAGGAATAAGAACCCTTGGGGAAGGCATTTTTCAGGAGTGATTACTGTATATGTTGAACATGCAGACAAACCCATCTGCTCCCAATTTGGCTACCTCTTGTACCAGTGGTTCCACCTGGGATTTAGGGAGCCCTTGGTGACTGTCACCCTTTCTGAGGATGCTTTGCAGTTCCCCCTCTCATCTGCTCAGGCTGTTGGTCACCCAAACCATTTGAAATCCCAGCTGCACACCTCTCTGCCATGGGGCACTCAGGGCTGGCTGGTGCAGAGGCAGGGAGCTGTGTTGTCCATTCTGATGTGAAGTGTGGCCATTTGGGGTCAGCTCTCCTGGCTGTGTCCTCTCCCAGGCCCTTGTGCAGGCTCCTGGCTGGTGAAATGGGGTGAGCAGCAAAAAATCCCTGGGCTCTGTGCTCTGCAGGAGTGAAAACATCCCTGTGTCACCAACATTGTTCTTAGCACTCATCCTAAACACAGTCCTGTGCCAGCTACCATGGCAAAAAATTAACCCTCTTCCACCCCAAGCCAGCACACTGGGAGTTTTTCTTCCCCAAAAAATTCCATCAAGATGGACTCTGGCTTAAATCCTTTCTTAAGCTTGCATGGACTTGCTTACTAAGCTGACCTTGTTTGTTGGACAGTTGCAAGCACTCAGGGTAGCAAGGTTCCTTGAGTTAATATGTATCTTGTTGGAACTGTTCCTTCCCTTCTTAGTTTTATTGCTGACATTTAGCTGAGACAATTGCAAACACTTGAATTAGAGATGTAAGGATTTAATTTATTTAATAATAAGTCTGAAGCCATTTAAAAGATGGTTCAGTGAATTAGAATTCATGTGGAATAACAGGAGCATTTTATTTCATCAGGTTTGTCCACAGGCTTTGCTTAGAGGGCTTTCAGCTGTGAGATTGGCTCAGGTTGCTCATGTTTGCTTCTCCAGAGTACTGAGAAGAGAGGAAAAGTAAGAAAATGGGAGTGTGAGGAGAGGAGTGCAGAGGAGAGCCAGCAGAATATCAACCAGATATCAGCAGAATAGCTGACCTAAACCTTTGTTCCTGCAAGAAGATTAAAACAAACAACCCTCCCCAAATTGAAGATCAAGTAAACAGGCGTGGGAAATGTGTGTTTTCTCTCTGTCTCCTTCTTTCTGTGGTGACTTTTTCTGTTTCTTTGTCCTTTCCTCATGCAGCATGTCAGGCAAACCTGACAGGCCTGGTGCCATGCAGAGATGTGGCAGCTCCTAGAAAAATGCTTTTATCTCTTGCTGATCTTTGAAGGCAGAGCAGCAGCTGTGGCTCGTTGAGGTCTGATTCCTTTGCTAGCAAGATTAAATAAAAGCTGCATTCATCTCTGAAGTTTCATGTCTGAGCCAACCCAGCCTTGTCATTTGTGGCCAGGAAGGCAAGTACTGGTTTCTTAGAATGCTAGAGGGAAATTTTGCTTTCTTCATCTAGTGCAAGTTGGGCTTGGTAATATGAAAACCTGGAAAAGGAACCAAAAATTGTGCTATGGGCTCATTGTAGTGGGGAATAGGAGATTGTATCTCACCTTTTCCTTGTTTCGAGCTGAGTTTGGCTAAGTTCTTGTTAAATGTGCACGTTGAGATTCAATTAAGTTGCATCTTTCAGATCTACTGTCAAAGCCTATAAATTTAGTTGCCATTTAAAACCTACTGTATTATTTTTCTTATAAAAGGTATTTAAAAAATTCAGAACTTAACTG